GACAAGTGAAAAGCAGCCGGACCCTTGCATAGGAACGATTACTAATAACCAGCGCCCACACCTAACCTCTTCTGCTCAACAGTTGATGTCAAAGGTTGTGGTTGGGGTCCTTGCTCAGCATCAAAATCATTGATTCCCCATCCGGGCGGGTGGCCCTAAACCACTACAATCTTGGCTGAGTATTGCAAACGTTCACAATTTGCATAATTTTGCTGTTTTCCAGAAAAAGCGCAGGATGGCTGTGTTGCCCTTGGTGTTGTTCCTTGCTCCCGTGCCTCTCCGGACCTTGGCAAGAGTGTCGAATAACCTGCGGTGTGCTTTGCCTGAAAGATCGATAAGCGCATCTGCACTGCGGGAGGCCCTTGTGTCATGTCCCAAGCGCCGAACTTTGGCTTCTTGCAGGGCCTCTTTGGACCTGCAAGCCAAAAACAACACTTGCTCTAACCGCATATGAAAACTTACTCAATGCTTCTCATGTCTGCTGGTAGACCTCTGCAGCTGCTGTTCGAATTCTTCCAGATCGCGCTTAGCCTGATGAGCGGGCTTGCAGTGTTGTCTGATGATCTTGTGTGTCAGCGCAAAAAGCTGCCTTCTGGTCTCGTTCCACCAGCTTCCGCTGGAACTCCTCTCAGACCGACTAGGAGCATCAAACATGAAAAAAACAAATACAGCAAGTGGGTCCCCGGTCCTCAACATCGTGCTGATGCTGCGCATTCCGCTGCTGTTGCTCCTGGAGATTATGCAGTCATGATTCGCGATACGATGACACGGCCTTTAACATCCTTTAACCATTACATGGCTACTCCTCGCGGTAGAGGTCCAGCTCAGCCTCATGAGCTGCGCGGAAACCTGGCAAACAAGTATGCAGCGTCCGCATCTGCTTGCTCTCATGAAACTCCAGCCTTGGAGCTCCTGCAGCGTGTCAGAAACAGCTATCAATTATCAATTCTACCAGGCATCGAGTTCTATTGGGGTTATATAGGGGTTGTATAGGGATAATGGAAGACACAATGGAAAGTACTATGCTGGGTGTTATAGGAGCTTTTTCAGGCTCCTTCTCGAGAGGCTCCATCTGAAGTCGTCGGCTTTCTGCACATTCCTGCAACAACATCGCAGTCGAAAGTTCTCTAAATGGCATCTTCATCCATCCATGTATGATATGGAACACAACAGCCGTGCATAGCCCTGCATTACATGGGAGTTATTAACCCCAACAATGGAGAATCAAAAATGGAAAAGAGAGTGGACAATTTAACGGAAACTGGGGGTAGATAGGAGTTTATACATAGCCCTGAACCATGAGCCCCAAACCCAAGATTGACCATTGGTCTATATTGGTCCCATTGCAGGCCAGGCTCTGTGAGCTCTGAGACTTTCAGCATCAAGGCCTTGACCTCCTGGCTGGGCAAAACTTTCCCATTTGAGCCATAGTCTAAGCCCCTTAAAGGGGGTTATATGGGATAATATTCGGTGCTATAAAGAGGGGATTAGGGCCTTAAAGGGGGTTATATGGGATGATATTCGGGGTTATAAAAAGGGGATTAGGGTGGGCTTGAAATATGGGATGAAAAAGGGGACTACTACTGCGGTTTATACACAGGAGATTTAAGGGGGGACTCCTATAGGGGTTATTGAGGGGGATACTCGGCGTTTAGACTATGGCTCGTATTGCAGCTCATCAATGCTCATCACACCTCCCTCCCACCTTCTCCTGCTCCGCGCACTTCTGCTCTGCAGCGGTTGCTTCAGCTTTTGCTGCCTCCGTTTTCGTGATACTTGCAGGGTTCTGAACATGAAGGCTTGGTTTTTAACAGGCTGTCATTTCCCACGCCTGCACAGCAGCTTGGCTTGCTTCTTGCGTGGCTGCAAGTGCCTGAGACCAGCAAGCTTACGCTTGGCATGCCGGGGCTCCACGACATGCACAACCTGCCTGGCGCAACTTCTGCAGCTCTTCATCAGTTCGGCTTGCTGAGCTTGCGTTGACAGCACTTACCAGATCCTCCCAAAGCATCTGCTGGGCCAAGGATTTTGCGATTCACCATGAGGCTCCTTGTTCTGGTTGCGCAACGTCTGCAGCTGCTCCTGGATGAAGTTGCCAGCCCAAGAAAAAACGCTAGTTGCGCGGTTCAAGTTGCCTCCATCTCCGCAAGCCGCCGCAGGTTTGGCGCGGACTCCTTCTTCATGGACTCCAGCTCGGCCGACAGCCGTCCACAAGCCTCTTGGCTATCCTGCAAGGCTTTCGGACAAGGCCTGTGGCCAACGCGTGATTGCACACTGAACTTCGTACTTCGCATTACTTCGCACACTCGTCCTGGAGCTCAGCTGCAAGCTTTTTTCTTTCCTCCTGGGTACGCTGCAGCTCTGCCTGCAGGGAGATTGTCACTCTCACTCGTTCCAACATGTTCACCGGTGCGCCTGCAGGACCTGCATCGCGCCTGCTTTGGGCACCTTCCAAGAAAAGCACAACAACAACATACGTGAGAGAGCTACAAGCGTTAGACTTGAAACATGCAAAGCATGTTGGTCTACGCGGCGCTGATTACTTGTCGTTTTCAGTTCAAACCGAGCTCAAGCAGATTCAAGTAGCCTCTTCAGAGCGAGGCTCTGGCAGGTCTGGATGCTGCCCAGCCAAGGTCTGATTGTGGACAAGGAAAGTCAGAAACCGATTTTACTACGCTGTGAGGATGCAAAGATGCAGTCCTCTTCGTTGAAATCAAGATCCTGGTCGGGCAGCTCGAAAGTCAGGATGGCTGGCCGCGGCATCTCCTCATCTCTCAGTCGCGTCGAAGGCATTCGAAGATGAGTGTGTCAGAGCAGGGCTTGCACTGGCTTGCGACAGAAGGTCCTTGAGCCATTTGGCAATCACTTTTCGAGCGCGCTGCTCTTCAAATTCTGTCTCGTATTTGGGAACCTGCTTGCAGCACGGCAACAGACTCTCCTTGTGGCAATTCCATGCGAAAAACCCTTCCCATTTCCTATGCAGTTAGCCTCGTAACCGTCGATCTTGATCAAGCGATCACCCTGAGAGAGAAGCTGGCTAAGCCCGGCTAAGCCACAAATCCGCATGCAGGCACGTGAAGCATCATGGGGTCCGGAGGCGTTTGAGATCCTTGCGATCTCCACTCCGAGCCGCTCGGCCTGATCACGTGTTTCTGAGAGACATTGTGAGCATCTGCCGCCCCTTTCTGAGATCATACAAGAAGCATCAGGCAGGGACCTGCCCGTTGGGTTGCACTGCAACCACAAGGTTTCCCTCTAAAGTGAAGCCCAGAGGTCCATCTCGAAACTCCACATCCTCAAAACAATTTCTTCGATTCTCTCCCTACCTCTACTTGCGCAGCCCAGAATGCAGGAACGAATAGGCCATCAACTAAACGTAGCTTCCTCACCCCGCATGTCCTTCAAGTCGTCTGGCTGAGCACCCGCCGGATCGAAGGCCTGAAGCTGGATGTTATCATTATTTCCAGTATTATAGTTTCCATTTTCTTTTCAATTTCCCTACATGTCCCTACATAAGCTCTTTACATCTACTCTACAAGGTTTGCTGAAATGCTTGGAGAACAGTGCGGACCAAATCCTGCAAGCAATGCCCAGACCCCAACCCCTGCAATATGAACCCATTACTACATTGGGGAAACTAGGGGATTATTAGGGGGTTCCATTTTTTGGATCCTTTAGGGGGTCTGGGAAGTGGTCTTGGCTTCAAGCTGAGGCTCATGCACCAGCCAGCTTCGAAGCCGATTGCTGCACTGCAGACACGTGATCCTGAGCGGCCTGGCAACAAGCCATGGTCTAAACTCCTTAGAGGGGGGTTATATCGGGGATTATCTGGGGGACTATTATAGGGCTTATTAAGGGGGATGCTAGGAGTTTAGACGATAGCTCATAGGCTGTCATAGCAAGGCAAGACCCGAGACATGCCTAGACAGTTGGATCCCAACAGCCTGTGCCAGCTGATCCGCTTTTGACTTCAGCCATGTCTCCATGGCATGGTGCCTCTTTGAAAACAAGTAGAAAATTCATGTTAGCAACATCTTGGCTTTTTTGAACAGCTACCACACTGTTGACACAGAAATCCTGCATGACCCTTTGGGAATCAAAAATGATGGTATTCAAGCAAACCAAACCAAGGTCATGCAAAAAACATGAACGATTCCACTAACGTAGATGTGTGCTCATGGAGTCTTTTGAGCCAACAACGGGAAGCAGCATGGCACGCGCCGGATATTTCCAAAAGCAGACACTTCGGGACTGTTGGCCATACCAATCTCGACAAGCATCTTCATGTTCTGTGCATTTCTGTGCCCTACAGCTGGACAAGAAAGGCATCAGGACGCATAGCGGGCGTAGCAGCTGCTAGTGTTAAGCAGCATTGGTGCCAGCGCTCCTGCTGCTGCTGATAGCTCATGCCGAGTGTATGCGCCACACATCGTGCGTCGAACGCCTGGCACCGGACTGCCTGTCCCCATTGGAAACGTCCAAGACAGGCACCCATGTCTTTGCTGCCTCGTTTTGTTCCAGTGGCTCTACAGTCGATGGAAATCACAATTCCCATCCAAACCAAGAAGTGCCAGGCAAGAGTGGAATGAAGGCAGATCGGCGAAGAGCATTCCACATCATCCACAAGCAAGAAGGGACGAGACCTCCTTGCCAATGACCGCAACAGGGGCATAAACTTGAGAACTTGCAGGACATCATGGGGCCCATCAAAGAAGATTAGGTCACAAAGTCCTTCACCTGTTCCTGCCTCTGCAGTGAGAAAGGCTTGGATATTTGGGTAAGCGTCTCCCCAGAGAATCTTCATGTCACGGCGAGGGAACCAAGACCGAATCATCCTGAAGAGTTCCTCGTTTAAGCCCGGGTTCAACTTACTCCAATCAAAGCCCAAATATGAAGAGTTCTCACCCGAACCTACCAGCAGGGTCAACGCAGAATGACCCGCATTGAAGCCAACTTCGCAAATCTGTCGTGGCGAAATCCTGGCTGCGACCTCGAAAAGGAACTTGGTCTGCTCCGCGCTCTCCCCAGAATGGCCAGACACTGCCCACTCACCGTCTGATCCATCAAAAGACCCCCGCCCTGCCTGGAAGGGTCTACCATCTCGCCCCAGCTGGCAATACTTCCCGGATTCCAGCTTGCAAGCCCAGTGTGACAAGAATGCATTAAGCACTGCATGAAACGCATCCAGTACCTAAGATGATGCATGGACTGCACATGGAGCATTTTGTCATTTTGCACCATGTGACAGCAGGGCGTTCAACAACTCAGCACCGTGCAGCTTGCCGTCGGGACAGCTCGCAGCTCTCTGCAGCACCCGCAGTCCGGTAAAGCACGACGCAACATCCAAAGAACACCCATCCCATGCCGCGCGTGCCATCATGTGACCTGCTGAGGCACTGCCAACACCTCGCAAGAGCTAATCCCACCCTTGTCCCCTAGTATGCCTCCCGAATCCTTTCAATACATGTAAGGTGTCGAATGCAGAAATCTTAGCTCATTCGAAAACTTGATTTAGAGTATATTATTGGGGATATATTGGGATAATGGAAAAGAAAATGGAAACTACTATAATGGGTATAATATAACCCCAGTTTCCATTTCATTTTCCATTTTCTTTTCCATTTGATTCTCCATTATTGGAGTAATCATATAGAGGGTACTGCAACAAGGCGAGCCGGGGTCTGGAATGCTCGGCCTGAGCCACTTGAGAACGCGCTTCACAAGTTCTCTTTGCATGAAGGTGAGCCAATGAACAGCGGGAAGGAAAGGACATGTGCGAATTTTGTCATCAAGTCTGACCCTGAAAGGTTAGTTGGTGGTTTGAGCAAATCCGCGGGCAACTCAACTCCTAGCTTGGCACAACAACAACAACAACAACAACAACAACAGCAACAGCAACAGCAACAGCAACAGCAACAGCAACAGCAACAGCAACAGCAACAGCAACAACAGTAGCAACCGCAGCAACTACAACAACATCGACACGTCCTCTCCTCCAACTTGAATTTCAGCGGCTCATCTTTCGCCAGGTTTTTTCCACTGAGTTGGTCAGGATTCAAGGTCTTCTGGGGACACTAGTTCTCCCTGAGGAGCTGCTTCATCGTCTTAGGGTGATACTTGCCCTCGCGGCATGGGCACAGCGGGAACGCGGAAGAGGCTCTGTATCATTCCAATTTTATCTGATGATCTGCCTTCTTGCAGCATCTGATGGCTAAACAATTGTTCATTTCCAGCACAATCAGCTTGATTTTTTCATGTTTGGGCCGTTTGTCCTTGAATTTACCTCCATGGCTTGAAGTAGAAGTCCACCAAGGCTTCGACCTTGATGGGACCGAGATCTACTTTGCAGTTGCAAAGTTCAAGATGTTGTTCGTTGAACATGGGATACACACATCCGGCGGTCTCTCTAATCCGTCAAGAGACAGCACTTAAGGTGCACAACGAATAGTACGCATCGTTGGCCAGCGCTCTATGACAGGCATGCCAACGAGTTCGGCAACATCCTCTGGCTTCAAATCACTGCACCGAGGACATTCTGCATGTAGGTGCGCATGCTTAGCGGCGAACTCTCCTTCCGAGCGACGCAAGCACTTAGCGGGGTTGCGTCCTTCTGCACAAATTTCTTAATCACAATTTTCAACAACTGAGTTACCAAATTGCTTCACAACAATATGGGTTCTTGGCATCCGGTCCCAACTCCCAGCGTGTAAGGAAGCCTCGAACGCGGGCGCCCAGATAACTGCCTTGCGTTTGCACATGGTCTGGTTGATTTTGAGCTGAGGCTCTACTAGAAGTTCTGGCGGAGTCATTCCATGGCTGGAAACTAATTATGTCCAGCAAGGCCCCACGTTGAAGCAGCAGATTTATGACGTCCGTATGCCCGTGCCCGACGGCATAAAGTAATTATGTCCGTCTAAACATTTGATCTTATGTTGAGCAAGAAATTCACCGTTTCCAGGTTGCCGCGTGAAGCGGCATAAAACAGGGCACTTTGACATTCTTTGTCAGCAGACGCAAGATGATGTGGGCCAATTGCGCGGACCCTCGCCGGATCCGATCTGCACAGAAAGAAGATTTTGGCTCAGAGAGCTGTGATGCCAAGCAATCTTGGCTTCTTGCAGCGCTTGCTTCGAGTCTCTGGTCACCGGCTTCATGTCACTATCTTCAGCCGGAGGGTGCTTCGTGGGAGCCTCATGGTTGTGGCTTGCAGCCTAGCAGGCATGACGTATGACCGGAAATCCATGTCTCCATGAGCCGACACCACGTCGTGCGATAGACAAGTGAAAAGCAGCCGGACCGTTGCGTAGGAAGGATTACTTCTAACTGGCGCCCACACCTAACCTCTTCTGCTCAAAAGTTGATGTCAAAGGTTGTGGTTGGGATCCTTGCTCAGCATCAAAATCATTGATTCCCCATCCTGGCCTAGACCACTACAATCTTGGCTGGGTACAAGACAACTCTGAAGAAGCCAAGCCAAATCAAGTCACCCAAGAAGTAGAGAGGTTCCGATTATTCGTGAAAAAGGATCAGAGCCTGAAACCAAAAAGACCGCGCAAGGCCACTGGAAATCTGACTTTGCGCGAGCCCTACGACGTCACCGAGTGACACCGCCTCAAAAGCTACTTGTACCCAAAAGAAGAGCTGTCATGCATCTGCTTGCAGCAAGCGCTATTGCAATCTACTTGGAGCAATATGGGGCAATTCGACTTTTTAGCGCACCTTCAAAGCGGGTTGGTACAGGGTAATCAATGGCTCGTGGTGCTGCCAGCTTTCTCCTTTCCATCTGTACGAGCTTCAGGCGCAAGGAGTTGTGGATCAGACGGCACCCAGGGACATTTCCGTGAACTGCTCTCTCGTGGTGCACTCCAAGTATTTGGGGTACTTCTCAGTGTCCAGGCCCAACGTCTGGCAAACGAGCGCCATGCCTCCTGCTGGGAAGTCACGGTCAAACGTTGCTTGGTAGATTCCCAAGACGGTTGGGTCAACACCACTTTTGGGTGGTGGAGGCGGTGCGCTGGCCAGCGCACCCTTTTTTGCTTCAAGCTCTTCAGATGAGGGTGGTGCGGAGGCCATGGCAAGGAAGCTGTTGAAAGCGATTGAAAGCTGCTGTTCCCCACCAGAGTTTGACACAACGGCTACATGTTCAGCAAGCCCACTCTTCTGGCAAACTGACTATGGCATCAACAGCACTCGAGCATCTGCTTTCCAACTTTTGCAGCACTTTGGCTTGCGGCTTTCTACTTCAAGGCTTGGTAGAGCCGAAGCCCTTCTTGGCGGAAGTGCTCGGCCTGAATAGGATCCTGGACTTCTGAAGGCACACCAGGAGCAAACCGCAATTCTGCGCCAGGCCTGGAAGACCCCGAGCTCGCCATTGAGGTATATCTCCTGACACTTTGACAGTCACCAAAGCATCAGATGCAGCTCCCTACCTATAGCCACCTGCATATGAGATATCGTCTAAACTCCTAGTATCCCCCTTAGTAGTCCATATAGTGGTCCCCTACATAATCTCCTATGTATACCCCCCCTTGCTAGTTTAGATTGTGGCTCATATGAAGCTCTGCCCACGCTCCGCCAGGTGCATAGATGCCAGAGGGTGCCCTTTCTCTTTGGCTCTTTTAAACCACATCACCGCACCACGATCTTCACCTTCAGGAGGCTGGAGCCCGACTAATGAGTGATCTTGAGATATCTTGAGAGCATCATCTGAATATGTCCAAGCTACTGCTCCCCGCGTGGAGGGAACTAGTAACATGCAAAACTTCTAGTTTGAGGCAACCCCCCGAAATTGCTCAGCTGCAACATGCCGAGCTCATGACGCTCCCGAAGGAAAAGAGCAAAGTCTAGCATGGCCTGGTCAAGCAAATGGCTTAGCGCTTGGAGTTGAACATGCCATTGACCATTAGCAGGCCTCCAAGTTGCGTTTGTTTGCCTCCACGAAGAGGCCTTGGCTGATGAAAGCGCTTGAGTCTCTCGGAGACCGGCTTGTTCAAGGCAAACAGTAGTTCAGCCCGTGCACGCTGGTAAACCTCGTCTCTCTGATGGGTGATAAACGGCCCGCCATCGAAGTCAGACAATCGGTGCTCGCACACCAGCTCGTCTCCTGGGCTGCTTTCCACACTCTTCACACCAACTCCACAGACTCACTCTTCGAGCGATTCAAGCATTTCAAGCATTGCAAGCGTCGCAGCGAGTGTTCCGCAGGAGTATTCAACGGGCGATGGAAGGTGACCTGGCGCTCGCACAGCAGCTCGGGAAAGTATACATAATCCACCTGCTTCAAGCAGTCCAGGACACGTACAGCAAGCGCCGTCGTCCACCACCTTTCGCTGCTGCAGCTTGGCCACCGCCGCAGTGGAGCAGCCTAGAGAACATCGCGAAGCTGGAGCACCAAATATTGAGCAATGTTCGAGATAATGGAAATCAAAATGGAAACTGCTATTATAATTTGGGTTATAGAAGGGTTATATGGGAATTATGGAAAGGAAAATGGAAACTACTACAGTATAATAGGGAATATATTGGGAGGATAATTACAGCCGAGCCACTGGGAATTCATGAGAATGGCAGAGCCAATCTGGCCCTCTGCGGAACGGCCTCCAAACCTAGGGGCTTGCAGTGGCCAAAGGCGAGATACGAACATCCCACACATGAGTAGCATTTTTTTGGTGGTTAAACCCAGTAAGATTATATTCCTTATATAAAATACTATACCCCAAAAGGAGGATGGAATCTTACTCTATATTGGGTACCATAGTATCCCCAAATAAAATACTACTCACATGAGCGCACAGCCTTTCAGAAGTAATTGACATCATCCTTTGCTTCGAGGGCCGCTGAGGGGAGACGCAGGACAGC